CTTCGACGCGAGGGGCTTTGTCTCTTGGATGAGTGTTACGCGCTGCCTCATAGATACACCGGTTCATGATCCCAATAAACACTGCGGCCTCGTGTGAGACAGGAGCTCTGGCGCGCCCGATGCATAGCACCTCTCTGCCGCGTCGACTGGCGAGCTCAGTGGTCGTCCGACATGCACTGCAGCGACGCGTCACCGTCTGGGCTGGCGGTTTGTCACCGGCTCGTGGCCCGTTGACTTGCCGGCGAAGTCGGACAGTGCAGCGAGCGCTGGAGGTATCGAGTTGCGGGCGCTGAAAAAGCTCGCTCGTGCGCCCTCGGCTCTTCTCCACTTCCCTCCTGTCCATGTGGCTTCGCCGACTCCGTCGAGCACCAGCCGAGGGACGACGACATCATCTTGGTGGTTGAGGAGGAGGATATCATGTCGTAGATGAAGGTTAAGTCTGCCATATTTGGGGAGGTCCCTGCCGAGCCCCTGGGGGCCTCCAAATAGGGCACGGTCTTGGCGTCTCAGGTGGTGGCTCTGGGCAATATCTTGGGCCTCGAAGGGGATGCAGCTGTGCTGGCCGTTCGTCATGCTCTACGGTCGTCGCACAATCTAGGAGCCAAAATCGCTCTCATTGTCAACAATTTACAATTATGCCTGAGCCTTTGCAAGGGTCGCGCAGAACCCATCGGTCCTGCTCTACGCACAGTTTGCTGTCTATCTTTGGCTACTGGGACTCGCGTTGCTGCCCGATGGCGCCCCTCAGAGCTCAATCCGTCAGACAAGGGATCCAGCGGCAAGTTGGGCTGGTTTAGTGGACCTAGTCGCCGAGCGAGATTTTGTCGTGCTGTCGTTGGCCCTGAAGCCTCAGTGACCTTTCAGACTCAACCCTCAGGACCTTCCGTTACTGCGCGCACTCCACCAGGCCTCTCACGTCTCGCAGGCGCTGCTTACACAGATGACCGCGGGGCGGAGGCGCCGCCGCACGTCGGCAGAGCGGCTTCGCCAGGATCGATCTGCTCGGGCGCGGGCGGCGGCAGCCCAGAGGCCTGCTCTGCCCACCCTGTCGGTGCTGGAGCGGACTGCAGTGAAGCCTGCCACAGAGAGGCAGCGCCACAGCCTGCTGACGGACTTCTGCCTGTTCTGCACCCTGCAGAGCCTCAAGTGGGATTTACACGCGGGCCTGGATGCGGCGCCGGCAGCCTTCCAGAACACGCCGTACCTGGACGGCCACCCGGGCACCGACGGGAGCAGGCTGCTCGCGGCCATCTCGCACCACTACCCGTCGATCGGCAAGCAGGCGCGGGCGCGGCCCCCGCGCTCCAGCCGGTGTGCTCAGGCCTGGAGCCGCCGAGCCCCCGGCCACCAGCGGCTGCCGTTAACGCGCGCCGCCGCCCTGGCGGCGGTGGGGGCGCTGCTGGCTCTCGGCCAGCTGCGGATGAGCATCTGGGTCTGCCTGGCGTTCACCTGCTACCTGAGGCCCATCCAGTGCTTCCGTCTGTCAAGCCGCCACCTGGTTGCGAGCAACCCTCGAGCGGGACTTCAGTTCCAGCATTGGGGGCTCCTTCTGGCGGGCGCCACCAGCGGTCAGCCAGGCAAGACAGGCACTTGGGACGAGTCAGTTCTCTTGGACATGGACGATTGGTTGATCCCAGTGATCGCGGCGCTGAAGCTGGCGACCCCAGACGACACATCGCTTTGGCCCCTCGCGCCGGCAGACCTTTCGAAGTAGTTCAAGCTGGCGCGCGACCTCCTCGGGCTGGAGGCGCCGGAGCCACACCTCTACCGCCGTCCGCCATGGGGGGGGCCCGGACGACCTCCTACGGAGGAGGAGGACTGTGGAGGCCGTTCAGCGCTGAGGCCGCTGGGCTTCGAGCCATTCCCTCAAGCGGCACGGCTAAGAGACCCGAGTGCTCACGCAGCTCAACCAGGCCCCCAGCTGGACACTTGAGTTCGGACGAGAGGCCGAGTGCATTTCGCCAAGATCATCGAGCTGGGCTGGGGATGACAAAAAGTGGGGTCATCAATCGGCTGCCTCCGCACTCGCGCCAGGCCCTCGCCAGCCTCGGACAGCCGCGCGAACTGCTTCCGCACGCGACGTCGAGCGTCGCCTCGCACTTGTCTTTCAGCGGGCAGTGCGCGGAGGGCAGGACTTCCGCCGATGCGTTTTTCTCAAGCTCTTCTGTGGCAGTGCTAGCCTGGCCAAGCATCTGCGTCGCCGAGGCCGTAGTGCACTAGGCCTTGACATTTTACAGCATGCTGCCGGATATCATATCATGCCAGCTGTTGCCCGCCGTGTACGAGGATGGATCCTCTCCATGGCTGCATGTTGCGCTTGGCTTGCCACCCCTTGCACCGCGCTCTCTGCTGCTAGGCGTCCATATATTCGGTCCTATTCCTTTCCGCTCGGCCTCCCTGGCCTTTCTGATAAGGACCTGGCAGCTGTGAACGTGGGAAACCGTCTTTAAAGTTTCACGCTGAACATCTTGCGAATTTGCATTCAGTACAATTGTCCCGCTGCTCTCGGGAACCCTCACACCTCTGTGATCTGGCGAGTGCCTGCTTTGAAGAAGTTGCTCTCTCATTCGCAGTGCCACGAGGTAGTACTAGCTCATTGCCAGTTTGGGAAGCCCTGGCGAAAAGAACCAGGACCGCTATCTGGCATGATTGTTTGAAGCTTGGCCGTCGTTGCCGCCCTGTTCTGTTGCTGGTAAGTGTTCGCGCACGGGCTGCGCTCACTTGGAGCTCATTGGCCGCGATCGTGCTAGTAATAGGCACTGGACTGCCATTGCTTGCCCGTGCCCTAGTTAGTTGCGCGCCGAGTTTGCATATGATAGCCGCTGTCGGTCGACAGCGTGCCGAAGTTATCGCTGCTCGATTTGGCGCATGATGCGGCCTATTGGGCAATTTCTCACCTGCGGGAGTGGGCTTGCTTTCAACGAATCGCTGAAAGTTGTTTGCTCCTCGCCCGGCTGGGCAGCGTTTGCTTCCCGCCTCGCGTTTCTTCGCATTGAAGGAAAAAGTGGGGCTTTGTCTCCACTGGGACCCCCTTCAGAGCCTGGCAGAGATTGATGAGTTTGCAAGCTGGCTGTCGTCACGACTTTATGTTTGCGACGTTTGTTCTCTGTCGTACCTGTTACGGCTCAAGCTCTTCCTTCCCTCCCCCCTTCGTTTGCTCTTTTCTTTTACCCCTGGAGGGGGCTTGCTTTCAACGAATCGCTGACAGTGTTTTGCTTCTTGCCCGGCTGGGCAGCGTTTGCTTCCCGCCTCGCGCTTCTTCGCGTTGAAGGAAAAAGTGAAGCCCTGTCTCCACTGGGACCCCCTTTTCTCAGAGCCTGGCAGAGATTGGTGAGTTTGCAAGCTAATTATTCCTCAGTAGTGAGAGTTCAGCAACAACAACAATCATGTCAAGACTGTTCGTTATTATTTGTTCGCGGGCCAGTCAACACGTAAATCCCAAATCCTCGATGCCCGCACTCTTCGTTTTGACTCCCCCTTGAATATCTGTATACATATGTATGATGTTACCTGCAACGTGTATTTCGTGCAGCGCCTAAGACAGGGGAAGAGAGGACGGATGAGAGGAAGAGACAAAGGGGACGGAGGAGGAAGGACGAAAGAGATTAACAGGAGGGGAGCTAGGAGCAAAAAGCACTTGGCATCTGGCAGAACCACACGGGCAGAGCGGGCGGGTAGACCCGAACGGGCGGGTCGGGATGGCGAGCCCCGGCGGCCAGGTCGAGCAGGCGGATTGCTGAAGCGTGCGTCCTGCATGAATCGCGATGAAGTCTCGAGCGAAAGCGCCATTCACAAATACATCGTCAGGAAATCCACAGCGAGAGCGCGATTCCTGAGTATCGAGGGCGCGGCGTCTGAATAAATGGGAGCGAAGTCCCACGCGAAAGCGCGATTCCTGTATAAATGGTGAGGACATCGCGCGCGAGAGCGCGATTTGGGGATAAGTTGTGAAGAAGTATCAGGCGGGCGCCGCTGTTGTTGTTGTTGTAAACCAGGGGCCAGGGGCCCAGTTTGGTGACTCTTCGCTTTCAAGGTTCGAGCCCTGTGATAAGCATTTTAATTGAGCAAATAAAATAGTTACCAGAAGGGGAGGCCAACAGCAATTGTTCTTCAGAAGTGAGAATTGTGTTAAGATGTTTCGCCGTTCTCTGCTCGCATGTCTGTCAACATGTATATCCCAACCCTCGATACACGCTTTTCCCATCTTCGATCGTACCCACCTTCGGGGTAGATTGCATTACCTGACACATGCAGTTGGCGCAGCCCCTAAAACAGGAAGAGAAGGGAGACAGGAAAAATATGTAGCGAAGAGGAGAACATCTCGGGAAGGCACGGAGGAAGGAAGGAGCAAGGGGGAGGGAGAAGGATGGAGCACGAGAGAGATTTGCAAAAGCGGGTCAGGAGCAGGAAAACAAACGCCAGAACCACACGGGCGGGTCGGGCGGGCGGACCCTAACGGGCGGGTCGAGCGGGTCAGCCCAGACGGCTTGATCGAGCGGGCGGGTCGTTGAAGCGTCAGTCCAGCATGAACCGCGAGGAAGATTTTAGCGATAGCGCGATCCCCAAGTACATATTGAGGAAGTCCAGAGCGAGAACGCGATTATTGAGTGTCGAGGGCGCGGCGTCTCAATACAGTGCAAGGAACTCCCACGCGAGAGCGCGATTCTTCGGCCAATTGCCAGGAAGTCTCGAGTGAGAGTGCGATTCTTCAATTGATTCTGAGGAAGTAGCAGGTTGGAGACATTGTTGTTGCGAACCTGGGGCCGGCAGCCCAGGTTGGAGACCCAACATTTTCTTTTTTAAGAATCGGGCATGAGCCTGGGCACCTCAACAGAAAAAAAGGAAACAGACAAAAAAACATATGTTATAGGAGGGGGGTCAACAATAATTGTTTTCAGAAGTTCTACTTCAACCACAACACAACCAAAAGTGGCACCGCGGAACCCCACTACGACCACCCACACATGGACAGTCTAAGGCAGTTCGCCCCCCTCACTCAGATATATTAGATCTAGTTGCACAAGGACAAGAAAAGCAGGCTTGCAGGTGTCACTTGAGAGCTTGGAGCTTCGTGTCCGTATGCTATCATATACACAGGTATACACGAAAAAGGACGATTGGACCATCTGACGTCATTCGAGCACCTGGAGTTTCACCTTGGTCTCCAATTAGAGACCATGTATCGGTCATCCATTTTTTGCCGCCGCCACTGAGCCTCCTCCTGCCCTCTCCTCATTGCCATCTTCCGCCTCCGTTTACCCCTCTTCCTCCTTGATCGTCGTCCGTCTTCTCTCCCTCGTTCTCCCACTCCTCCTCATTCCACCTCCTCCTCCTCCTGCCTCTCCTCTTCTTGGGAGGACTCTGGCCCATCCCTTCCCTCCTTTGCTTCCATCCTCACCGTCCTGCTCCTCATACTATGGATCACCCTGCACTTTCCTCATCGTCCTACTACTCTTATTCCTACTCCTCTTTCTCCCCCTCCTCGTCCTTCTCCTTCCTCATCTCCCCTCCTCCTCCTCTTCCTCCTTCTCCTCCTCCTCCTCCTCTTCCTCCTCCTCCACATCCTCCTCTTCCTCCTCTTTCTCCTCTTCCTCATCCTCCTCCTCTTCCTCCTCCTCCTACTCATCCTGTTCCTCCTCCTCCTCCTCCTCCTCCTCCTCCTCTTCCTGATCCTTTTCCTCCTCCTCCTCATCCTCATCCGCATCCTCATCCTCTTCCTCCTCCTTCACCTCCGCCTCGTCCTCCTCCTCCTTCTCCTCCTCGTCCTCTTCCTCCTCATCCGTCGCCTCCTCCTCCTCCTCCTCCTCATCAGCAGCAGCAGCAGCATCATCAGCATCCCCCTCCTCCTATTCATCATCATCCTCCTCATCGTCATCCTCCTCCTCCCTCTCCTCCTCCTCGTCCTGATCCTCCTCATAGCTTCCCTCTCCTCCTTAGCCTTCTCCTCCTCCTTCACCTTCTCCTCCTCCTCCTCGTTCTACTCCTCTCCCTCCTCCTCCTCCGCCTCTTCCTCCTCCTCCTCCTCTTCATCCTCTTCCTCCTCCTTATCCTCCTCCTTATCCTTATCATACTCCTCCTCTCCTCCTCCTCCTCCTCCTTCTCGTCCTCCTCCTTCTCGTCCTCCTCCTCCTCCTCCTCCTCCTCCTCCTCCGCCTCCTCCTCCTCCCCCTCCTCCTCATCCTCATCCTCTCAAAAGTCGGGCCCAGTGACCTGCCATGGGGTGCGTTCTGACCACCAGCTCGAGGCACGATGCGGCCATGGCGACGCGGAGGCCCCGTGAGGCCCGAGACGCCCCATTAGTCTTGAACCTCGAGGCCCTCCCCTCTCAGGAGACAGGAAGCTCTGACCAAACAACGAGTGAGCTCACCAGAGCTGGGTTTGGGAATATCCCCCATCGAGGAAAAGCTCCTGACCGAGCCCAGGTCGTCCCGTCCTCCTTGATCTGGTCAGGGGCTCCCTCTTCCTTACCTTCCCCCCGCCCCCTCGAACAGCTCGATTCCCCCCTCCCCCATCCCCTCCATCGAAAAGTTCGACCGCTCCCCCCGTCCAAGAGCTCGATGGAGAACTAAAATTACCCTGACGAAGAACCCAACCTCTTCCACGTGCGTGGAAACTATCAACAAGACCGCTCGATGCACAAGAGCTCGTTGGGGTGCGAGGGGCGCGCCGAAGTGAACCCGAGTACGCATGCGGACCCTGCCACTGGAGCATGCGGTGGAGCTCCTTATGGGGCCGCGAAACGTGTGAGAGGCGAACCCAAATGGACCCGAGTGCGCGTGCGGACCCTGCCACTGGAGCCTTCGGTGGAGCCTTACGGGGCCACGAAACGTGTGAGGTGTTCGCCGAAGTGGACCCGAGTACGCATGAGGACCCTGCCGCTGGAGCCTTCGGTGGAGCTCCCTATGGGGCCACGAAACGTGTGAGGTGTTCGCCGAAGAGGACCCGGGTACGCATGCGCACCCTACCACTGGAATTTTCGGTGGAGCGCCTTATGCGGCCACGAAACGTGGGAGGGGTGTGCCCAAATGGTTCCGAGTACGCATGCGGACCCTGCCACTGGAGCCTTCGGTGGAGCTCCCTATGGGGCCACGAAACGTGGGAGGGGTGTGCCCAAATGGACCCGAGTACGCATGCGGACCCTGCCACTGGAGCATTCGGTGGAGCTCCCTGTGGGGCCACGAACGTGTGAGTGGTGTGCCCAAATGAACCCAAGTACGCGTGCGGACCCTGCCATTGGAGCCTTCGGTGGAGCTCCTTATGGGGTCGCGAAACGTGGGAGGGGTGTGCCCAAATGGACCCGAGTACGCATGCGGACCCTGCCACTATGGGGAGCTCCCTATGGGGCTACGAAACGTGTGAGGTGTTCGCCGAAGTGGACACGAGTACGCGTGCGGACCCTGCCACTGGAGCCTTCGGTGGAGCTCATTATGGGGCCACGAAACGTGTGAGGTGTTCGCCGAAGTGGACCCGAGTACGCATGAGGACCCTGTCACTGGAGCATTCGGTGGAGCTCCCTATGGGGCCACGAAACGTGTGAGGTGTTCGCCGAAGAGGACCCGGTTACGCATGCGCACCCTACCACTGGAATTTTCGGTGGAGCGCCTTATGGGGTCACGAAACGTGGGAGGGGCGTGCCCAAATGGACCCGAGTACGCATGCGGACCCTGCCACTGGAGCGGGAAAGGGAGGATGAGGAGGAAGCGAAGGGAAGAGTGTGGAGGAGGAGGGAGGAGGGGGAGGAGGAGAGGAGAAGAGGAGACGCGCGGCGCTGCGCATTCAAAACAAGGACCCAACACACAGGAGGGTTGGGAAAAAGAAGTTGGTGCTTCACGGACCTCTCCCGGGGTGCGCTCTGACTTTGAGGGTCGAGGCAAGTTCAGCCGTGGCGACGAAGGACGGGCAACTATATCGGCACATCTTCCTCCTCGAATCCTCGGTTTCATCAGGGTTTCCCTCTTCTTCCTCCCCCTCCTCCTTCGGGTCCCGGCCGTGCCTGGGTTGGATTCTGGCTCTCCCAGGGGCGGCCCGGTGTACCCGAATACCATTAGAGTACCCTGTAGAATAACCCTTTCTTGATCCTGCCCCTCCTTCTCCTCACCCTCGTTTGCTCGCTAGTTGGGGCTGAGTCGGTTGAGCCCATGGCAAAAGAAGAGACACACAAGAACGTGCAATGAATTAACGAGAGGAGCCGCCAGGGCAAAGCCGCCAAACTCACCCGCGAGCCCCCCGGAACACCCCCAACCGCCTCGCCAGGGAGAGACGGTCTTCGCCTTCCTCCTCCTCCTCCTCCTCCTCCTCCTCCTCCTCCTCCTCTTCCTCCTCCTCCTCCTCCTCTTCCTCCTCATCCTCATCCTCCTCCTCCTCGTCCTCCTCCTCCTTCTACTCCAACTCCTACTCGAACGGGAGGTTCCTATGCTTAACTGGGTGCAGGAAGGGCTTTCCGCAGCCATTTTAAGGTCGACCTTCCGCGCCCGACTTGATCGCACCTTTACAAGCCGTCTTATCCCGCGTATTGGAAAGTACGACATCCGATCATGGTCCTTTGTTTTTAGTTGGTAGCGGAGCTTCGGCTTCGCGACCCACTGCCGCCATGGCCCACGTGGCTTTTCATTATTTCGCCATGCGTCGACCGCGCCGGCATCTCATCCCCATTGCCTTGTTCAATCTCAACACGTTCAGCATCTGCATGGACCTCGCTTTCGAGCTCTTCGAGTTCACCCCTTTCAACATTCCAACCCGTCGTAGGGCTGGATCGCTTTCGCGTTGCTCCACCAGTCTTTCGACGGGGGAGCCGCACCCGTACATTTCCGAGAACAGAAAATCCAAGGACCGCGCCCCCGCGCCTCCCCTCCCGTCGCCTTCTCCCGGGCTCGCCCAGAACGTGCCTGAGCAGCTCGCGGACCCGACGCCATCAGTGAAGTTGTTTGTGAGTGCAGCCTCAGACGTCCGACTGTTGGTTGGCACAACGTTCACGTGTACGGCGCTGGCGAAAGGCCCCGAGCTCCCTGCGGCTGTGTTGCAGGACCCCAGGGAGAAAGAGGCGACGGACACGACGCCGTCATTGCACCCGTTTGTCGGTGTAGCTGAAGGCGCCAGAGCTGATCGATACAGCGTTCACACCACCTGCGTTCGCGAAGCGCCCCGAGCTACTGGCGACTACGTTGCCAAGGTCGGGGGGGTTCAGGCAGAGAAGAGCGATAAGATAAAGGACGGTCTGGCCACTATGTGGTCAGCACTCCGAGGGACCGCAACGCGAACCTGGGACCGTTCGTCCTCGATCTCTCGGAACGCGACGTGCCATTTTATTCACGCGTTCCCTGGTACCTGGCAGACCTGGATCCCGATGCAGACGATTCTTGGCTATCGCACGGCTGGTGGTGCCCAGTACAGTGGCAACATGACGCACGACGAGCGTTCCCAGGACGACATTGAGGGATGTTCCGAGTGCCGAGCTCACCACAGCCAGTCGACAGAAGAGCATGCCCGATACGCTGGCGAGGAGCACACCCGGCACAGAGACCCACGGCAGCACCGAGGCAGTCTACCGAGCATCGCCGCCCGTGGTTTCCAGGACCCCACCTTTTCGATGCGCGGAGGGAACTCCATTCCAGATGGAAGGCCATCGGGGCGGGCACGGTCGCTGCCACCAGCTGCACCGCTGGCGTGGATGCTGGCGGCGGCGGCGGCCGCATGCGAAACCTCCACAACTGGGGGCCCCAGCAGCAAGCTCGCGTGTCTGTTCCAACGCTGGGCGCGGGAGGTCATGATCTGGTCAGCGGCGAATTCCGATCTCAACGAGTTCCGCCATGCGGCCTACGTCTCGTCTCGCCACGCCAGCATGGCGCGCGAGTGCGTGGACGAGTGGCCGCCAGCTATCTTGATCCAGGGCGGTCATGTCAGCGGCATCCTCGCGCCGCCCTCGACCTGCCCAATGCGCCGCCTGGCCGAATGGCTGGGCCAGCTAGGCGGCCACAAGGGGCTCTGCTCCCTCTGACTACGCGCGGCAGGCGCGGCAAACATTGAATTCGCCATGACCTCGCAGCACCACGGCGTGGCCTACCCCGCGAACACGCAGCAGACATCGCACGCGACGGGCCAGCTGCGACGACTTAGGCACGCGATCGTGGGCTCGCTGGGCAATCTCACCACGGACTTTCATTCGACCCAACGCCGCACGTTCCTCGCGGGTACGCCCACGCAAGATCAGGCTCAGGGCGCCTATGGTACTGCGGCCGAATCGAGCCGGGGCGGCACGGGCCCC